AAATGGGCAAAAATCCCATAAAAATGGGAATGTCCTTCCTGAGGATGCTCCACTGGGCCCCAATCTCCAAAATATCCCCTGAAAACGGGAAAAAACGGGCAAAAATGGGCAAAAATCCCATAAAAATGGGAATGTCCTTCCTGAGGATGCTCCACTGGGCTCCAATCTCCAAAATATCCCCTGAAAATCCAAAAAATATCCACAAAAAATGGGAAAATAAAAAAAAAAAAAAAAAAAAAAAGGAAAAATGGGGAAAAAAGGGGAGGAAAATGGGGGGGAAATGGGGGGAAAATGGGGGGAAAAACGGGGGGAAAAAGGGGGAAAAAAGAGGAAAAAATGGGGGGAAAAATGGGGGGAAATGGGGAAAATATGGGGGATTTTTGGGGTGTTTTAGGGGGATTTTTGAGATGTTTTCCAGGTGTTTTGGAGGTATTTTTGAGGCGATTTTTGGGTATTTTTGGGAGGTATTTCGGTGTGTTTTTGGAAGAATTTTGTGGCGATTTTGGCAGAGTTTTAGAGGAACTTCTGGGGGATTTTTAGGGTGTTTTGATGGGATTTTTGGGGTGTTTTAGGGGGATTTTCAGGGTGTTTTGGGGGCATTTTTGGGAGGATTTTTTGAGGGACTTTTTGGGAATTTTTAGGGTGTTTTAGGAATTTTTGGAGGGATTTTGATGGTGATTGGGGGGGATTTTTGGGGTGTTTTGGGGGATTTTCAGGGTGTTTTTGGGGGGATTTTTGGGAGGATTTTTGAGAGATTTTTTTTGGGAATTTTGGAGGGATTTTAGGGTGTTCGGGGGGGATTTTTGGGGTGGTTTTGGGGGATTTGGGGAGTGTTTTTAGGGTGTTTGGGGGGGGGTTTGGGGTGCTTTAGGGGGAATTTCGGGGTGTTTTGGGAGGATTTTTGAGGGATTTTTTGGGAATTTTTAGGGAAATTTTTGGAGGAATTTTGAGGGTGATTGGGGGGAATTTTTGGGGTGTTTTGAGGGATTTTTGGGGGGATTTTGGGGAGTGTTTTTAGCGTGTTTGGGGGGGATTTTTGGGGTGGTTTTGGGGGATTTTGAAGGGTGCATTTAGGGTGTTTGGGGGGATTTTTGGGGGATTTTGGGGGATTTTGGGGCACTCACGGGCCAGGATCAGCTGCTGCTTGGTCATGGCCGAGCCGGAGGTGGGGAGGAAGTTCAGGTCCAGCAGAGCCACCTGGGGGGATTTTGGGGGGTCCCTGAGGAATTTGGGGGATCCTGGGGGGGTCTCAGTGCCCCCCCCAGCCCCGACCCACCCCCTCCACTAAAGGTTTGGTGTTAATTGATGACTCAGAGTTAATTAATGGCTCGGCGTTAATTGGTGTTGACAGGAAGTGACACAAAGGGGGGGGGGGAGGGGGGTTGGGACACCCCAAAAATCCCCAAAATCCGGGAACCCCCCCCCAGCCACCCCAAAATTCTGCCTTAATTCCCCCAAAGCCGGGGGTTCCCCAGACCCCCAAAAATCCCCCAAA